GACCGCGTCCATACTGGCCACCGGGCGACTGAGGACGTCCCCCAGCAGCGTACGGCCCCTGCGCGGCATGAAGTCGCCAGGAGGAGGCGGGCCCTGGCGCATAGGCATCGGGCCCGGCCCGGGACCAGGTCGGTAGGCCCCACCCTGTTGCTGCGGCAAAGGCCCGCCGTAGGGTCCGGGACCCTGCTGTTGACGGGGTGGACCATAGTTGCCACCGCGTCCCATGTTCTGGGGTGGGTACATGCCCTGTTGACCATACATCGGCTGCTGCATCTGCGGTTGATATTGCTGCTGCTGCTGCTGCTGGTATTGTTGTCGCTGCTGCTGCTGCATCGCATGCTGGACGGCATGATTGTTCATGCCCTGCTTCATCTGCTGCTTCTCACGTTCACGGGCGTCAATGGCACCAACCCAAGCCGCCCCCCGATAGCCCTGTTGCTGCTGTTGTTGCGGTCTGTTTACCAGCACCCCATGCCAAGCAAAAGGTGCCCCTGTCATGCGGGGCCACCTGCTCCTGGTCTCGAGCAGAAAGCTGGGACGCCATTTCACCTGAACTGCCCACATCAAGAGCGTGATTCGCGCCTCGAGAGTTGGGTCGCGCCATGAGGTCTCCCGAGCTATTGTTCCTGTGGTGTTGGTTGAGCAGTTCCTGCGAAGACCGACGACCCATCGAAGGAGACGGCGTCTTGGCGCGCATGTTGTTCAGTGCCGGGTTGGACGGCGTCCGAGCATGCCCGGCCTGGGCAGCCCGCTGCTGCACATACTGCTCTGCGCTGAGGCCCGATCCGTTACCAGCACTGCCACCCACGCTCGGCTGCCATGGAACCTGGCGAGGAGGGGGCGCATCGCCATGCTCGTGAGACGCCACGGCGGGGAGATCGCAGAGCTGGCGAGTATGGGGCGTTGCATTCCAGGGTTGATGGGGTGTTGGGGTCTTCTTGCGAGGGCTGGCGCCGTAGTTGATCGTCGGCCCCAAAGTTGATGTCAGGGATATCGAATGCTTGGGGTGCGGCATATCAGGCATCGGAGGCTCTCCGCCTGTCGTTCGGAGGACACCAGCGCGAGGACGCTCGACAGAAGCCTGCGTTTCGCTGGACTTGCGCTCGCTGGCGTATTTCGGGACTCGTAACGGGAGGCGGCGTCATAGTGACTGCTGGCTGCGCTGCGCTCACTGTACTGCCGCTGAAGCTGCTGTCGGGCTGGGGGTCGCGTCGCCAGACTCCGTAGCTGTGCCGGGCCAGACCGCCCATGTGCATCATAGGTCCAGAGGCGCACCCGGAACCATACTGGGTGCTCCTGCTGCCGCAGACTGTCGGATCGGTTGGCAATCGGTTTGCGGTGGATCGGAGGGGATCTCTCCACATTGGGCATGGGACTCCGACCCCCTTGGTCGTTGGGGGTGCGGGGACGCTGATCTTGATACTGGGGAGGGACTCGGGGTGAGTTGGGGGTAAGAGGCGGGGTCTGGCCATAGCCGAGACCCCTCGTGTCGAGATTCTGCATGTGACCTGGCCCGCCAACCGTGGGGCTTCGCGCTCCGTCGGGTCGCGAGAAGTTGTTGTAGGGAGCCTGGGGAGGACGAATGGGCGGGGGCATGCGGTTCTGCTGATCCGGGCCACCTCGGCCACCATACGGAGGGTTGGGAGGCAGAGGGCTGCGAGGACCGGGGCTCGGAGGAGGACCACCGAAAGCCTGTTGCGCCATCGGAGACCGGGATCTCTTCTGGTTCAGGGGCGGGATTGGAGGAGGTAGACCTCCCTGGGAGGGCTGAAAGTTGTTGGGCGATGTCATAGCTTCGCGAGACCCGCCGTCGTTAGCATAGGCTCCCATGATGTTGGCGTCAGGATGTACCGATGGTTGCGCCGCAGCAGCGTGATCCTCACCGCTTCTGGGGTCAGGGTACGAGCCAGGATGACCGCCCGTCGGGATTGAAACGCCGCCGGCCTTGGCCAGTTGTGATAGCGTCGTGTTCGAGAGACGGCTGTTGGCCCTTCTAAGCTCCGGCGAGTGGTACGGTTGCTGAGAGGCCTGA